AGAAGCTCCTGTGGTACCCTGAGCTTCTCACCATTGTGACAGTCATATTATCCTATTTATTCATATGAGTTGTTTATTTATCAATGTTTCACATTAGATCGTAAGGACAGCCCAGTGCCCTTCAGTTAAGGCTAGGATTACATTTCCAAGTCCTTGTGTCTTCATTGCTTAACACAGCACTTGGGCCATGGAGTGAATGAAATGCTGGCTGAATAAATAAATAGATGAATGGTAGGGTGGAATTAGATCCTGAAGACAATGGAAAGACATTGGATAACTTTAAATGGGACTGTTCTTCTTGTGTTTTGGAGGGGAGCCCTTTGGTAACAGTAGCGTAGAATGGGGTGAGACTAGAGATGCAAAAAGATGAGGAAATTGAAACAGTCCCATGTGAAATAAGGACTGAAACAATATCAGCGATGGGGATGAGAGCAGAATTGATTAGAGAGATGTCTGGGGAGTAAATAGACTCCAATGCCTACTACCTTCTGAAGGGTGAAGCAGAGGCAAACTCTTGGCTGATTTTTATGTGTCTGGTTTGGGTCCCCCATTGGAGAGAGCACCTTTACTTGATATAGGCAATGTGCCAAGGAGACATGCATTTTGGAGTTCCCTTTTAGAGTAATAAATGTGGATGCCAGCAGAATATCTACAAAAAGAATAGTTGGAATAACTGTAGCCTTTGGTGAGAAATTAGGAACTAATCATTGGATTTGGAAATCATTGTGTACCAGTGAAGCCAGAGAAATAGATGCATTCCCCAGCAGGAGTGAGAGGGGCCGGGCAGAGGACACAATTGGTTAGCACATGCATTTGAACCACAAGTGGGGAAAAACAAACCCGTAAAGATATGGAGAAGAAGCAGCCGACCAAGCAAGCAGGCAGGAACTGGGGCATATTAGTTTGATGGGGCCACAGGAACAGTTATCGCTCTCCACAGGCCTCAGTTCAAACCTGGCTTCTGTCCCTTTCTAGCTACGTGGCCTTTGCCACATACCCAACACTTAGTCTCTCTCATCCTCAGATTCTTTACGTGTAAAGTGAAGATTACGATAGTACTGCAAGAACTTGTTCCAAAATGTTAACAGTGATTATCTTTTAGTGATAAGGTGAGGGATTCTTTACATTTTCTGCCTTTGGCTTGTCCGTATTTCAGACTTTCTTCCTACCTAAAAGTAATATATGAGTGTGTGTGTGTGTGTGTGTGTGTGTGTGTGTAATTTTTTTAAGTTATGTAATTTTATATAAGCTTTTTTTTTCCAAAAGAAGCTATTCATGCTTTCTGTAAACATGGGACATAATGCAGGTTCAATTGGTATCATGAAGAACTGTAAACAAGGCCATTCATGGATTAGGGAAATAGGTGTTTTTATTTTTCCCTCGATTAGAGACAAGAAACACACATTGAGTACTGTAAGGCACAGAGTGAAGTTCAAAGTTGACAAAAGCATATCTGTGCTTTCAAGGACTGTACAATTGGTGGGGTAGAATTCCAAAAAAGAAATGCATACTATAATGCACTGCCTATCAATATGGAGCAGATGTTTTTAAAAAATAAGATAAAAAATAAACTTCATGCTCCTTGGGTTCTCTGTGGCAGAGGAGACATCATATGAGGCTGGAAGGATCCCAGGAGGTTTCCTGGAGGACCTCGAATCAGGGAGGACCTCATATCAGGGATGACCTTGCATCAGGGATGACCCTGAAAGCGTGGGTGGGACAACAGTGACGCTCACACATTCACTGTTGTCTCAGTGCTTATTGGTCTGCTTCACAGTAGAAGGACAATTGGGCAAGAGGTAAAAGCTCAGAATGCAGGATGATTGACTTCCATGGAGAGGGGTCTCCCTGTCAGTGGCTGTCGTCACCAGTAACCTCAACAGCTGCATGTCAGCACGTTCAAGGGAGTACAAAAATCTTGCTTCATCATGACTGGGGCAGGCAGGGCTCACATTAGCCACATTTTGACTCAGTCCCATTGTTTTATGTATGCATGTACGTATGCAGTTTGTAAAACTGGAAAACTGAACACATTCGAGCTTTGTATCTTCGGCTCAAGTTGGTGTTTACTATTGTTCAACTTGGTAAGGGCTTACATGTTACCTTCCTTGTTTTTTAAGCCCTGTGTGGAGCTTTCATTTTTCGTTTCCATCTGCAAATGGCCCAGTTTTTGCATTTGCATGTTAGCTGCCTATGTGAATACACAGACAGTTATATTAAGTCAAGTATACAACTATGCATGAAGCAATGTCTTGATCGAAGGCATCAAGCTTCTCTTTCAATGACAACTAGGTGATCTAGACAATTTTTTAAAATTGTCAGGTTGCAATATGTGTGAGTTTACATGCCTGTGATTTCATCAGGATGGTTGCTGAAAGGCGAGTTTGCACTTGGCAATGCTGAATTCAGACTTTCATTTTTACAGGAGGTCAAGGATTCAATCAGAAATGTTAAAGACAAACACAATTAAAACCAGCATTAGTGGTACATAATGACAAAGACCACCAATTAAATATCACATCATGGAATGAAATACTTCAAACCTAGCCTCAAACAATGTAAACATCTGTCTTTGCGATAAATGTGGAAAAGAACATCTTTAGAACCAATAGGACATTTATTTGTCTCAGTGTGTTTTGGGGAGAAAGAAAACCTATGTATGCTGTCTAGAGGAACTTGGGCAAATTTAGAAAAAAAAAGGAAACTTACACACTTCTCTATTTTTAGGAAAAGGAAGTAGCAGTGACATCACCCTCCACTAAAATCTAGCTTGTTTATCTCAATTTATTAGGTAATACAATGCCTTCTTCAGAGTAATGAAGTAACCACGAGGATTACATACAATTTCCTTCTGAATCTTTATTACCTCATTTGCTCTTTCATCCAACAAAAATTTATTAAACACCTATTCCGTGCTAGGTGCTGGGGATACAATAATGAGCAGAGGGAAAGTGATCCCTGTCCTCAGAGATTTGGGACTTAAGTGAGGGAGAGGAATAGGAATTCAAGAGTGATCAAACTATAGCTGTAGTTAAGCGCTAAGGAAGAGAGCCACACGGTGCCAAGAGAACCTATCACAAAAGATCTACTCAGGGAGGACAGGAAAAGCTTGCTCATCCAGGAAGTTCTGATTCACCCAAGGAAGATTAGGAGTTGGCTGGGTGAAGAAGAAAGGAAGTTCAGAGGAAGAGAAGTGCATCCTGGGAAAGGCTCTGTGTGGGAAGAATAGAGGGGCATTTTCTAGGCATTTAGAGAAGGTTCTCAGCAGGAGAGGGAGAGAAGTCCGAAGGAAAGCTGCCAGAGAAAAGGGGAGGCAAGCTGAAGGGCCTGTTTCCTATCCTCAATCTCAGGGGCAATGAGAAGCCATTTAATGATTTTAATCAGAGGGTTGGTTTAACCAGGCTTGCATTTTGAAACAATGACTTCAGCTCTGGGTGAGAAGCTGAGTAAAAGGGCTCAGAAAGGCCCCGGCTGAGGGTGAGTGGCTGGTGAACTCTTGCTGAAGGGATGGCAATAGTGTCGGCAAGGTGGCCGCAGAAGAGGAAATGGGGAGAAGCAGATTTTGAACCCAACTTTTCCCCGTCTCAAAGTGCCTCCAGTTTTGCAACCTTATTGATGGGCAAGTGGATGCCCGGACCTCCCAATGTCCCTGCCCTTTCTGCTGAGAGGTGGTATTTTTCTAAAAGACATGTTCAGAGGCAGCTTCAATGCTGGTTTGGAACTACAGTGACAGGACTTAAGGTGCCAGGCTCGAGCCAATGAACCCACAGCTTGACAGGGAAGATCTCAGGAGCTGGGTTTCCTTTGACAGGGAATATTTCAGGAGCTGGGAGGACTATTTGCCTTAATGCATTTCCAGTAAGCTTGGCCACCTTGCCTCTCTGCAAACAATCTCTCGGATAAAGGAGTCAGTTGTTCAACTCGCTGGAGGACTCCTGACCAGAGAGCTATCCAGAATCGAAGTCTCAAGAGCTGTGAGTAGAGTGAGCACAGGAGTATAATTCCAAGAGAGGCATAGGGGAAAGGGAATGTGTTTTGGTTGGATCATGATTAACTTCAAAAGAGATGTACACCAGGATTGTTTGGGGGCAAACCTGGTCTCCAGAGCAAGAAGGAAACGTTAAAAGTTCATACTGCCCTGCTCCTACAATTTCACCTTTTGCAGAGGAGAGGCTAAATATTGTCTCTTCACTGGCTCCACTGGAATGCGAACCCTGGCGTTCAGCTGACTTCCAGGACACTTTTATTTTAACATTTTCTGCCATGCCTGATACATTCTGAAGGAGGCCACCATTGTCATTCTGTGCTGGACCATCATGTACAATGCCTCGGGAATCACCCCCAGCAACAATTTCAAAATGGGAGCCACCACCTAGGAGCTCATCAGAAATGCCCAGTCCTAGATGTGCTGAATCAGAATTGGCATTTTAAGAAGATCCTCAGGTGATCACTACGCATGGTATTCGAGAAAAAGCTTCTAGACGTCCACCTATACTGAGAAAACATTCTGCAATGTAACAGTGTATGCGTACATAACCTAAGCAAACGTTTAACAAGACAACACTTACTCTATTTTCATAGAAAACAAGGTGCTCACAGTTCATTGGATTTCAGCATCCACTCCTGGGTTGTGACTTGTACTTTGAAAACACAGCTCTAAAGCACCTAGAACCTTCGGAGGAAGGTTGGAAGGAGGGAGAAGGTGCTTTGAAAAGTATATTCACTTTCTGTGCTCGGTTACTTTGTGAAACGTGTGCACTTAGTCACCCCAGCGTAAATACTTGGAACCAGTACTCTTGAGGGCGGTGAGGGGCAGCTGAAAGTTTGCCAAAGCCCTAGGAGGGGCTGGTCTTGGGGACATGATTGGCAGCTACGAGAGAGCGCGAGGGCTGGAAGTGAAGAGAGGGAGAAGGCTCTCGGGCGGTGAGAGGTCCTGCCCAGCTGTTGGCGAGGAGTTTCCTGTTTCCCCCCGCAGCGCCGGGTGAAGAAGTTGAGTGAGTCACTCGCGCGCCGGGACCGACGACACCCCCGCGCGCGCACACGCCTGGGACAGGAGCGGGCCTCCTGCGCAGCTCCCCTCGGCCGCCGGGGGCCTCCCCGCGCCTCGCCGGTCTCCAGGCCCCCTCCTCGAGCCGCGCCAACGCCACATCTGGCCGGCACATCTGCCCGGCCGGCCGGGCACGGGGTCCCGAGAGGACGCGGCGCGGAGGTGCAGCCAGGGGTCCGGGAAGGCGCCGGCAGCTTGCGCTCGGGGCTTGGTCTATGACGATCGGCGGGGTCTGCCATGGGTCGGGGGCTGCTCAGGGGCCTGTGGCCGCTACACATCGTCCTGTGGACGCGCATCGCCAGCACGATCCCTCCGCACGTTCAGAAGGCGGGTGAGTGACCCCCGGCCCGGCTTGGCGGGGCTCCTGGGGTCTCCGGGACTCCCCGCCTCTTCTCTGCGCTTGACAGGCGGTCCCGGGAACGCCGCGCTTGGCGGAAACCGGGACGTTTGCCTTAGGGCATCATCACGCAGCCCGACTCCCTTAGCCACGGGGATGTGTGAGTTTTACTTTCAAAAGAAGAGGAAAGTTGAAGTTGCAGGGGGCGCGGGGCGCGTTTGGCCCCCTTTGTGCGGGCAGGAAAGGCGTTGTGTGTTGGCTGCGTTCAAGGCGCGCCCCAACCCCCGGAAAGGGAAGTTTGAGAAGTTGGTTATCTGGAGGAGGCAGGGTAACAGCGGCCTGGAGCGGCGGCCGCCAAGGCCGCCGAAGCAGCTGGCACACCTGGGGCCACCGCGGCTCGTGGCGATGCTTCGTGCCCACCCAGGACTGGCCGAGCCACCACCGTAAATGACCAGTTACTCAATCCTTAGCTCTGGGGAAGGGCCACGCACTCCCCCAGGCCGGCTCCTTGGCCGGGAGTTACTTGGATAGTTAAACTTTGCAGAAGAGAGGCGATTTGCAAAGGAAAGTTATCTGACTCCACCGAAGGCTTGGCCTGGGTGCGTTAGGGAGTGGGGATTGTCAGGTGGAGGCGGAGAGTTATTTACCGAGGGCCTGCTAGGTGCTGGGCGCTGGAGATGTTGCCTGGAGCCAGACAGCCCTATCTTCCGAGAGTTGGTGATTCTCTGCAGTTATCTTGGTGGAAAAGGAAAGGTTAAGATCCTAATTCTGCTGCTCAAATGATCTCTATCTCTAGAGGGTTTTTTTGGGGGGGTGGGGGGGATAGGGTGCAGGGGATGAACGAATGAATGAAGTACTTAACGATGTGTTATGGAAAGTACTGAACCCCAGAGACCTTAAAAATTAGAATTTTTGCAGCTATGAGCCATATAACTGAGTGTCTGCAGCTGTGGTCTAGGTAACTGAGTATTTGGGCCTTTCTGGGCCTTAGTTTTCCTCATCTGTAAAATGCCATGGTTAGATTTGGATAATTTTCCATTCCCTCATCTTTTACATCTGTGTCTCTCCCCTCCCCCTTTGGTCACTTGGAGATGTCCTGTGTGAATCTGGGATGACGTGTAGAGGATTTGACAGTCCACACTATCACACTGAGGCACTGGTTTGCTTTACTAAGGGCCCCAGGCAGATATACCCATAGGTTTGTAATCTGACAGTGACCAGAGGGGAGGAGGGAGGGGGAGAAGGGGAAAGGAGGGGGAAGGATCAAGTCGAGGAACCTGTATAAAGGACCGTGGACACGGACAAGGAGTGGGGGAGGATTGGATGTGGGGGAGGGGGAGGTGGGCCTGGCAGGGGAGAGCAATGGGGGGGAAATGGGGACAACTGTGATTGAACAATTAAAAAAATAGAAAAAAAGAGAATAATTTTTTTAAAAAAGAAAGAAATATGCACCAGGTTCTAAATGGTATGTTCCAGTGTATTTGAAGTGGATTGAAAAGTTCATATTTGAAGATCATGTGAAGATGGGAGTTATTAACAGAACCAGGATTGTTGTTAACAGCATTGCCGTAAACAAAAATTCCTAACACAAATTTGAGTTCTATGGGTACATGAAATCCCAGTCAGGGTTTTGTTTTCGGATGTTGTCCTACACTGCAGTACCAGAATGTTCAAAATGTTCCACTGTCTCTGATTATACCCCAGACTCTTAAAAACTGAGTTATATTTAGCTAATAAATATTTTAAATGCACCCGTAATTCTCTGTGTATGTGAAAAATCATTAAAATTTTTGTTTCAGATTACGAAAGAAGGAAATTTGTGGGCTCTGATTTAGTTAGGTTTTGTTTACAAGGATAAGATTTATGATTACAAATTCCAGACTCAATAGTTCATGAGTCAATTTCATTTCATCTATATACACCCTTTTAAACCATTAAAAGCCTAGTGGCTTTTTTATTTGGGCTTTTAAGCAGTTTTACAAAAGCCACAGATTTTGTATCTTTATGGAGTTAAAGTTTCAAAATCGTTGAACAAAAACAAATTCAAATTTTGAATTTGTATTTATTTGAAATGAAATTTTCAATGGTAGTTGAGAGTGGAAATTAGCCATAGTGAAGATGAGAAACCTAATTCCATGATTGCATTTTGATTTCCCATGCAAGTAAATGGTTTCAGGATTTTTCTAACATAATTAGTAAACTGTCAAAACATTTTTCAAAGTATCTTCATTCATGATAAGTTAGGAAATAAGATTCATGTTCTGTTTATTAGTTGACAAGTGGGCAAAGGCTTTCAGTATATTAATAAACTTCACTAAGAAATATACTTAACTTTAGAAAAGTTTTGTTTTTGAATTAGTAGATTCATTTTTTTCCCTAAATGCGCAAGAAAAAGTACTCCTTTTGGGGAAAACTACATGTCTGAAAATTCTTCAGGTCTGAAAAATGTGACTTTATTTTTCCAATACCTAACAAGGGAAGCTTGTTGACTGAATATTGGTGAAAGTGTCACCCAGGTAAACTTCTTTCCTAAAATCGCTTGATGATGTGCTTATTTTGTCAGGCTCAGAAATCAGTAGGCCTGGATATGAACTTTGGTCTGTTCGCTTTTGTTCCCAGAAAGCACGTTTTCACCTGGAGGCCACTTCCTGTAATAACATCTTATTTTTGAACCAGTTATGATTTATACAAAACAGCCGTCATATCTTTTCTGAGACAGCAGCCCTTGGTGATGAGTCCTCATTAGTGTCTGTATGCTCCGCATAACCACTACACATTTTTCATTCCAGTTTACCAATCCTCAGTTATGGAGCTAACTTTTTTAAAGTTCATTTTTCACCCTATTTTCCCAATGAAGAATGACACTCCCTGGGTGCCATTGTAAAAAGTGGCCATTACTCACTTCCCCTTCTCGTCAGTATTTTATAGAACCTCCTTGTGCCTGGCAGGAGGCTCAGACCTGGAGACACCATCCCGAGACAGTAAGACAGACATGGTCTTTGCCCTCATTGTGTTTAACACACGGGAGCGTGTTCAAGGCAAAGAGAACATTCACATTCTGACGCTCTGCCCGTGGAAGCATTACTGACGGAGCAGTGGTAGTTTATTTCCTGGACCCCTTTGTCCAAAGTCCACTTTGTGGTTGAATGCTCCAAGGGAGAGAGTGCATGTTGAATGCGTCTCTCTGAGAATGCTTCTCAGTCTTTCTGAGTATTTTTTCATCAATCTGTTCTTTTCTACAACCGCCTTGGTTGCAGGCCCTCAACTGGGCCACCTCAGCTGTCCATTCTGTGCCCTGCATGAGTGACCCATCTATGCCCATCCAGCCTTTCTCTCCAGGGCAGCCTTGGAGATAGAAAAGTGTAGGCTTCAAGCTTTGGAAGCAGACCATCTTGGGCTTCCAAACCCACCTCCCATTTCACTGGCTCTGTAGCCTGTTGCAATGATGTGACTTTTCTACCTTCAGTGCTCTCATTTGTTAAATGGGGTTTATGGTGTTCTGGTGACGATTCAATGAATTACTCTAAACTGCTTAACGTTAGAGTAATAGAGTGCTTAACATCCTGCAATAGTAACATTAGAGTGCTTAACATCCTGCAATGTAGTAAATGCTCAATAAATATCAGCTTCTATTATGCTTTTTCTTAACGTCTGAATCCAGCCTAACATGGTCCCCAGTGACCTGGTTCCTACTTGATTCTGCAGCACCACATCCTGCCAAGATTCACACATTGCCAGCCCACTCTTACCGTCGCCCTGAGTACACTGCCGTGAGCAGTGGAGGCACTTGCACCCTTGCTTAGGGGGCCGTGTGGAATGCCTTCTACCTGGACACGGCACACTTGTCTTGAACACCGCACACTTGTCTTGAACACCTCACTCAAGTGTGATCTTTTTTAAAGAAACCTGCTTTGAAAGCCTTGGGTTGAGCTAATGTCCTCCTGAGGGTAGGCCTCTCTTTTAGCCAGTAACAATCGTTAACAATAGTAAGCCAAAGTGTCATCTTTATGTACCTCCCTTGCCCTTAGGGTTTCAGTTCTCTCAAAGGCAAGGGGTGTGTCTTATTCATTTCTCTTATCTCCAGGTCTCCCACAGTACCTGGGGCATCATTTAAAATCCAAGAAATGCTGAACTCAGCCTCTTCTTCATCCCCCCCACCCCCCACCCTCGCCCCCTGGATGAAGGGCAGCCAAGTCGAGCATTTTCATAACCAAGCAGTCACTCTTTATTGGGAGTTAGGTCTACAGGGTAAAATTTTACTTTTAGTGAGAAAAATTTTGGCTCTCACTAAATAGGCAATTTGGCTGTTTTTATACTATGTAATTGGTTCTTTTATTCTGATGAGCTCTGGGAGAAAAAGAGTGCTGAAGTCTTAATTTAGTTTTTAAGTTTCTTTTCTCGTCAGGGTTTTCTGTTGGGGCTGGCAAGCAGCAAAGCAGAGCCGGTGGAAGAAGGGAAGTGTGGTCCCGCAGCAGCCACGTTCCTCCCTAGAGCAGTGTGGACATCAGTGAGGTGTGAGGCAAAGCGCCGAAGTGGTTTCAAACAGGATGCCGAGGAAACCTCCTGGCTGCAGGTTGGCGTTATGTAGTCCATTTCCACGTAAAAGCATAGCTGTATCACCTTGTTGGCTTCAACCTGCCAGGGGTTAATCCAGCAGATTTAACTCATGATTTTCAGTAAAGATGACTTAGCCGGTATCCATCAGCAGCCAGAATGCTCACCAATCCTTTGGCTCTACCTCTTTTACTTGGAATATTTTGCTTCTGGATTACCTGTTGCTTCTGACTGAGGCAGGAAAGCAGTGACTGCCTTTCTTGGCGTGTCAGAAGGGCTGAGCAGATTGGCTCATCTCAGGGAAAAGTGGGAGAAGGGAGAAAGAATAGTTGAGAATCTGCTCTGAGCTGGCCACTTGACATTCCTTACCTAATTTCATCTTCAGAGGAAACCTGGAAGATAAGTTTTACTGTATTATTTTATAAATTCAGAAGATAGAG